TCCAAATCAGGCAAAACAACTCCCAAGCAAAGACGAGTCACGACACGACGCGACACAAGACATGTGTCGCATGATCGGTTTCCACCCATGTCGCCCGTTCTCTGCTTCAAATCACTGCGACCGTGAGAGGTGTCTTCTGACGCCAACTGCTCCTCACTTCAGCCCTCTGCACTGCTGCGGTTGCAGGTGGAATTGGAAGGAGCATGCACGACAATGGTAGCACGGTTGCCGAAACTTACAAACAACACAACCCTAACCCATCTTCATGGCGCTGAACGCTTTAAAGATGAATTAATGATTTTCAGCCAAACGAGATCCTACATATTCACCGGTAAATAGCAACTAAGCTTAATACAATAGTAGGGATTGTGTCAAGCTCTGACCTTGCACAGTCCTGCCAGGAGAACATGACACCGGTGTAAAGCACCCAAACAAAAACCCGTCGTTACCTCACTTAGCACTAAAATCTTTTTCGACGTAAACAATTTCACACGTGTGTTCAACCTTTACTACTACCGTTTCAGTGGTGGCAGGAACGGCGTTCGAAAGTGCAATTCATGTTTTGCATTTGGGTTCGCAGGCGAGACCACCGCCAAAATACCACCTGGTGCAATCTGGTGCATGTGACAAGCTGCCAGATAGTCTCAACGCACCTCACCTCAGATCTCCTCCACTCAGCTCATCTCATTCCATTTTCAGTTAGCCGAACAGCGCATCTTCCTCCTCTCTGACTGACCGAATCACGCAGCAAGCGCATGACACGGATGGTGTCTTGCTTTTGGAATACTACGTCAGACATCGCATTGCAGGTCAGTTGTCAGCCAAGGAAGAGGTGAAATTACAGTTCATGTCACTCCGTGATGTAAATGTTCACCCACCGTGTCTCGTCTTCAAACACTATCTGGATGGCTGATGGTGAAAACTGAAAGGAACAACTGCCATGTGGTGGTCCTGGATTCTCTCCACTACCCTTCGTACCCCACCCTAACCACATGTACTATTTGCACATTTTGTTATATTCTGGCCGTGTTCTCTCCTGCCTACCTTCTCGTAGAGTAGAGGATTGATGGACAAACGGATGGATAGACTCAACGGACCAACATGCTGATCGAATATGATATGAGACATAAACGCAAAATTAGCCGTCAAACTCTGTCTTTGTTTGTCTAAGTGAATTGATATTTGCTAGGTGCAGCTTAGAGCAATTTCCCTTCTGAACGCGGTGCTTCATTATTTCTTCTTTCTTCCGCTCAGCTCATCCTGTGACAGCTAATTAAAACATGGCATCCATCACCTTCACAAGCATTCGGGTCTACAGTGGGTCAGTGATGCTCTTGTTAGGCTGCATTCTTGCCATGTTGAAATGATCACCCCCTACTTCTGTTTCTTTAGCATTCAGGCTGGAAGTGTTGCGAGCCGCTGCATACAGCAGCACACTTACCCAGTTAGACACCCACATCTCTCATCTCTTGCCCTCTCCCTGACTAGCCAACAAATTAGTATGCACTCATTTCAGACTGGATACACAGAAACAGTTATCACAAGAATCATATCAACCACTTTTGCACACAACAAATCTTTGCTACTGGCAATGAAGCTCAATCCACAAGCGCGGTGTCGCTCTGCAATTCGTGATTGAAACAACAAGGAAGGTGGAAAGTGTAGGCGCCTGGGGTCAGGATGACTGCACATCACATGTTAACTTATTGAGGCGGATCTTACCAAAGAGAGGAAAATTTGCTTTGCAAGTGCACTAGATCCTCCTCCCTGCCACCTAGACTGGCTGTTTCTACCACCCGACCACTGCTACTACTACTATCACCCTATAACAGCAATTAGAGTTAAACAATATACAAAGGTGACTTGCATCCTGACTTCACTTTTTGACCGAATCTACTGATATTCTGGCTGGTGGTAGCGTGATTGAAATGTGAAGGGGTCGTTTCTTCTGCCGGGGTTTGACATACTTTGAATTTTCTCATGTAAACACGCAGTTTCGTGCAGATTCAGTGACTATCGTGTGCATCTTAGCGCAGGATGCACATTGAACCAATCAACATTGCTACATGCCTTTTTTAATCCACCGCCAATACAATGCGGTGTTTTGCCGGTTAAAGGCCAAGAATAGTTTCAGCTCACCTGCACATCCCTCTCGGGTTTTCTCGCTAATGCAGCACCAGCCTTTTCAAAGCTCGGTTGTGAAGTGTTACCACGTCAGATGGCAAAGTGGACAACCAGTTGGAAGCCTCTCATTGCAACGGTTGAGAGATCAGTCCTTGAATAAATATCCTGACAGAATGACTCAGCAATTGAATAGCGGCGTTGCAACAAGGAGGAATTTTTTGGTACGGCCAACCAACCCTTCAGGGCGTTGAGTATTAGATGGAAAAGCCAAACCACCTGCCAGAATGTCAGTCTTGTAGTTGACTGTTTCTGTGTGGCAAGATGTTGGGGTCAAATTGGTAGTCAATTATTGTAATCTGTGAAGCTGTGGTATTTTCCTGAATCGAGCTTGGTGTAAATTGGCGAGTTGTCGAAAATGTAGACGCGATGGTTCTAGGAGTTGTTCGTGGCTGCCATATACTTCGACACTTTATCACCAATTCTTTTACCGATACGATGTGCACAACAGGAGTCACGCTAGTGAGACTTCTCAAATGTCACTCGATACCCATCGCTGCTGGGGTATTATCTGTTTCAATTACAAGCCAACCAGTGGAGTTGGTTTTTGGTGGAGGGACTCTCTGGATTGTACCTATGGAAATTTGTTTCCCCAATGGAGCAA